TTTGGTATTTTGTGTTTTGTTCAAATGTTGAAATATTCGAACAAAATGACGACAGGTGGATTAGCAGCTCATCAAGTAAATATACACTATCAAATCCATCCCATTCATCCTGATGATTTCGAATTCCATAAAAAGACTCAATCAATCGCATAACTCATTTAGAAACTGCGAATTTGCGAAGAACCTCAAAAAACAGATGATGTATGCAGGTAATGCACTGGCTAAGGCTAACGAAAAACAAACAAACAAGCTGAAAGTCATACTGTTTACGGTATTGACCAATTGACTTCGTAAAGATCGATTCAATGGCCTCCTGAACACGTCCACACTGATGCCATCCAACGGTGATATGTCTTCGATCATAAATCACCTTCAAACCACAATCAATGCGCCTTTTCCTTATCCTTAATAATCGAGAGATGCTCCATTAAAAATATGACTGAATAATATAACTTTGCTTGAATAACTTTCAATTGGATATATACTTTTCATTCGCTTCATACAAAATTAAAACGTTGTATGAAGAACAACAGAACCAACGTTCCAAACACAACAACAGAAAAGAGCCTCAAAACGCATCAAATGACTGCAATAAAGTCAACTCGAATATATCACTGCTGCATGAATTATCCTTAGCGCTTATCACTGTTATTAAGATGTGACCAGTCCTTTACTCACTCCAATCAATGGTTAATGTGTGCGCACGAGAACTCTTTCAAACATATTATGCTCCAGAAACAAATAAAAACCTTTTGATCAATTTTTCATTGATTAACGGAGCTTTTCTTGATTTGCGATCACTTTCGTTGTTCTTAGGTTCGTCGTCATTCAACTCGTTGTTCAATTCACGCTTGATTCGTTTCCTCGCAGGTGGTAACGACCCACGAGCGATATCATCATCATCCTCACTATCGAAATCGTCACTGCGTTGCCTCTTACTGGTTGTCTGTTGTTCACAATCATCTTCTTCAATCAGCTCTTCTTTCACTTGTATTCCACTATCGTCGAATTTTGTACGCATTTTTGTACGATCCAACTGAATATTTCTTCAATTTCCTCATTAATAAACGTTGAAATTTCTCTGTTCAAACAGCCTTTTAGAACTTTAAACTTCAATGAACACAAGTGAAAACAATCAACACACTAACAACAAGTCAAAAACACATTCACAAAATTTAGAAAACTAGCAGGTGCAAAGCATCTGATTCACCCACTAATCGAAGAGTAAACTCGCTGAACGAAGAAGCGATTCTGGCATCTTCACACAATGAAATCAACACTTCCCATCACCAAAATACAGTAACTGCGATGCGGATGGCTTTCATAACCATAGTTTTTATTGATCATAAGTTGAACATAAGACGACACAAGGTTCAATTACCATTAGAGCTTTATTGGATTGATTCTCACCAAAATACAAACAAAAACAATTCAAGTGGTACTGCAAACGTTCCTTCGGTAACGGTAATAGTAATAATTTTGGTAGGAAATCTGAATCGGACAAGAAATTGTCCGATTCTTCATGCCAAGCAAAAATGGAATTGTGAACTGAATAATCAATTTACCGCAACAATCAAATTAAAATGAAAAACGACTTTTGATAAGAAAACGTCTCGTCCAAGATCATCACCTAACTTGTGGCATCACAAAACCAAACGACAGTGTTTATGATTCGCACTTTCAAACGCAC